TTAAGAAATTGAACTAGCGTTGATACAACCTCGAAGTACAAAAGAAGCTGCGATACTGTTAGTTTTAATAAATATCGAAGAACGTTTGAAAATGGTCTTAGTGGGAAATCAGTACATCTTTACCTTGTACAGATTTGTAATGTTCGTTTAGTTGTACCTTACTTATAGCGCATTGGAACGTTACAGTCTCTGGTAAAAAATGTAGAATCTAATCAACAAATCTCTACTCGGGAAACAAGTATTTCACGAGACAAACATTTTTGTCGGTTCTGGTTGATCAAAGTGTTTGCATCTGTTATACCTTCCCGTGCATGCAATAGTTTACTTGTAAAAAAGAGAATGTATATCAGTCGTGTGTTCCTCAAGCTATTATATTTAAAACAACTGATTCAAATGATAACAATTATCTTTTAATCACGTATACGTTACTGTTTCTTGTTTTACAATAAAGATAAGACGATGTTTATAGGATAACCTTTTTACTTTGTTATTTGTTTACTTTATGATGACTAGATTTCCATAATTTGTTCTTATCGGAAGTTCTCTGTTTTCTTATTTTTTTCTGTTTACTTTCTAATTGGTTAATCAAATGATATTGCGCGCTACAACTGCATAATAAGCCCGTAAAAATAAAGTGGAAATAATGGTTTACCAATTTGATTATGTTGGTATTAAACTATAATTCGAATTAGACAAAAAAAAAAACTTCGAGGAAACATCGTTACTACACCTTTTCAATTACTGTAGTTGAGCCTCGCTGAAATAACCGAATTATACAAATAACGTTATAACAAATAAGTTACCTACGTTATTTTAACGGCCCTTTAGTTTAACCTGCGTTACGCAGTAACGTGCAACAATGACTGACAAAAATATACATAATTAAGTAAAGTATTTAAAAGTATTTGTACGAGCTTAAGATACATGGAGAAAAGCTTAAATAAAGCAAATAAATAATTTGTATACTAGTACCTGTTATTTGTACAACAGTTGGCTGATTGAAGGATAAATATATATATACAAATAAACATAGGCTATCTGACGAAAAATTTAAATCATTACTTCTAGTGAAACGATATATATATATATATATATACAACTCGTCTAAACATCAGCCCAACAATATTAGATTTGTAAATTTGCTTTCGCAATTTTTTTTGTTCTTCCCTAGCCGGGATTCGAACTCATGCTACTGAGATATCGTGACACCAAATCGCCTGCACTGTATCCGACGCGCTAGACCACTCGACCACTTAGGCTTCAATAATAAAGATTTCGGTGGCCGGGTGTTACCTTTCCTCGTCAGTTTTAATCTAGCGTCGTAATACAGTACATGCTGTATAAGGCATGAAGATGGAATTGTTACAGATCAGCTGAAATATCTATTGTAAAGGATCCTACAAATTAATGCAAGATACAGTCACAGAAATAATTATATCTATAAGTATACGTCTGAACCAGTGACAACTCTACAACAGATGTATCCATCGGATCACCAGCAGTGATGGTGATACATGGCCCTGTACATTCTGTATATACAACTCGTCTAAACATCAGCCCAACAATGTTAGATCTGTAAATTTGCTTTCGCAAATTTTTTGTTCTTCCCTCGCCGGGATTCGAACTCATGCTACTGAGATATCATATATACAAATTGAAAACAACGTTCAAACCTATGATTGCGTTGGATAAAAACCGCAATTTTTATACGTGTGCATGCAAAACAAATTTCATGGTAGAGGGGCCAAAATACAGCACAAACAACATTTTCCAAAAGACCAAAAAGTGAAAAAGTATATTTTAACAAAACACACTTGACTAGCAGGTCGAACATGGGTCTTAATTATTAATTTAATACCAAACAGAAAACAATAAACTTGCGGAAAAGATGGTATACGGCAAACATGAGGTGCAAAAATCTGTACACCATATCCGGATTTCGACAATTAATGTCTCTTTAGTGATGTTAGGAATCGACACGGTATTTGAAAGGCAATATAATTTACCTCAATTTAGGATTGACTCTTGAATTTTGAAGAGTCGAAATAGGATGAACGGATTATATAAACCCGAAGGCAAATATAATACAAGCCCAAACGAAAAAATATAAACAAGTCTAAATTGAAAACAACGTTCAAACCTATGATTGCGTTGGATAAAAACCGCAATTTTTATACGTGTGCATGCTAAACAAATTTCTTGGTAGAAGTGTATAAATACAACACAAACAACATTTTCCAAAAGACCAAAAAAGTAAGTAACAAAACGCATTTGACTAGCCCGTATATATCATTTCCTTATAATATACCAGCTAGAGAAAATGCATGAAGATATGAAACATAAATGCAGACATGGACAGCCGTGGTGATGTATGGGGAACCACTTAATAAAAAGAGGCGAAGCTGGATATAACTGAGTGTGCACATGTACTCTTCGATCTGTTGAAGTTTTGCTGGACAATTTTCTAGCTATTAACCCCAGAACCTTTCACATCGGGCAATAGTGTTCGTTGTGTCTGCTTTTTCGTCCTCACGTTGTGTGCACAACACCTGCTGAACCAGTGAAAGGAATTGTTCCACTTGCCCAACTCCTCTTTTATTTGTTTATCCATGATCAAATGTTATGGTCCCTTTTGCAAACATTGATTTTATTTATTAAAAATAGAGGGTATACATCTTGTTTCCGCAACTCCTCCCGTTGACTGGATTTTAATGCAGCCATCTTCAGTACTGAATAACATCGTTGACCTATTATTTATTTTTGTTGTTATTATTATTATTTTTATCCACACGGTTTCAACGTATTTCGAGTTTTGGATTTTCAATTTCAAGACATGGACTTGGCACATAAATTAACAAAAATGGTAGTTGGTGCGAACTTATAAGTTATACTAAGTTTTGTTAGTTTGGTTGTAGATGCATTAGAGAACGGAAAGATAATTGTATTGTTCTCAATCGTGTCTTCATGTTTTGGTAATGGCTTTGCTATGTATATGTGGTTGATTTATTTCATATCGTAATGTTGTTTTTGTTATTTTGAAAATTTGTGTTGATGGCAGATCTTTGGATTATTCTCTTTATAGTATGCACATCTTTTTATTGAGTCTAACATCGCAAATGTACTATGCAGCATTGCACTACGAATCTGTTCTTTTTTATTATCCCACATTTTGCTATGCTATGAATATAACACTTGAATCCTTTAAATTGCTAGCGATTCACACCTTCCAAAGTAGATTCAATTAAATTAAAGGCGGCATTTCACTTGATCCTGTTCAAAGATTCCATATATTATTTTATTTATTGATGTTTATCTTGCAAATATTGCAAACTTGAAATATTACATAACAAAATACTGGAGTATTAGATGTGAACCTTCTTGCTGCTATTATGTAATCTCAAGTGGTTGATTTGGATAAAGAAGACCATTGATAAAGAGGGGCGTGTGGGATGTATAAATACGCAGCCACATTCGGTAGAAAATGAGACGTTAAATGCGACGTCTCCTGTAGTCTTTGCACATAGAACTTTTTCAACAACTTGTTTGATGTATCTGAAGATGACATTTACTCGCAGTTCCAATAAAACTATATCTGTTTCTAATGTATGTGTAGGGATATATCGAATGTATCATAATTGAGTTATAAATTTTGAAAGTAACTGCAATCATATCTGCTACATGCAGTGCTGCACAAGTCAGTGTAGAATAGAAATGTATTTTAACCAAGCCTGATATTTTTTATACTAAGGCGATGTAGGTGATACGTCAGTGAGACAGCAAACCAACGACAAAGATAATCAAAGTCGGTCCCCAAATCAAAAGACAATAACCAAACAAAGATGAGAACTATAACAGCCAGGTCACATGTACTGAGGGTTATGTCCAAAGGGCACGCATTTCCAGCTTTTCATCCCGTAACGGGATTCCAGTCGTGTTCAGTAAAACCTGTAACGGCAGTAGAATGAAAAAAATCAAGTGAAAATATCAAATTGACGATAGTGAAAACTTAACAGAGTAAAGTAAAGTTTAGACAGTGAAACGTTCAACCAATTCCTGAAATGGTTATTTCAGTCGATCTTCGCATGGAAGTAAAATGAAATATAATACTTTCATGATCTTCGTAATCTACAGGAATATGTTTTTTTTTCTAGATAACACAACACTCCTGTGTATAAACTATTACTCAAGAATGGAAAGTTGACAATAGGAAAACTTAAACCTTTGTCATAGAACACATACAATGTATATATTCATCTATGAAACTAAAGGATTTACTTAATATTTTTTCTTTCTTTGCATTTTAAGAGGTTTTGTTATGATTTAAGAATAAATGGGACATTTCGGAACGCACACAGGGTACCTTTTGGAATAAAGTGTCCATTTCAAAATTTGATGTCCAAATATAAAATGTATTACTTTACTTAATGCCCTCGTTCACACGTACATTTAATTCGAATTGAATTCGAATCGAATGCGAATCGAATTCGCTAATCGCGTTCACACACTCTTCTTTTTTTAATTCGAATTGATTCGAATTGGCTAAATCGCATTATCCAATTCGCATTAGAAATGCGTTTTTGTTAATACGAATTAAAAGTTAACGTCGTTCGGACAGTAAAGCGAATTTAACGCGCATTGCAATTCGAATTAGAATTTACGTTTGGACGTAAAACGTTTCGAATGCGAATTAAACTAATTCGAATTAGTTAATGCGAATCGAATTCGAATTACGTGTGAACGCAGCATAAGAATATTCAAAACGTTCTTTTATAAGCAAAATTATCTATTAATACATTACCAATTTTTAATTCATTCTAAAGAAATATAAAATTTTCATAACAAAACAATCCGGGTGCGGGATTTTCTCGCTGTGTTGCAATTGAAGACCCATTGGTGGCCTTCGGCTGTTTTCTGCTCTTTGGTCGGGTTGTTGTCTCTTTGACACATTCCCTATTTCCATTCTCAATTTTATAATATTATTGACAAAAAATAGCTAGGAAAACATTTTATTTCACATGTTCCAGAATTATAATACAATTATATCATTCTATACACAGTTTCAATTATTATCACAGAATTGCTTTAAATAACATTATATTGAATAAATTAACAAAATATCCATATGTACGCATGCGTTGTAATAACAGTCCAGCAGGCAGAGTAGAAACTGTTGACACTGTCTTGTTAAAGGTTTTTGGTCATGAATACCTGAAAATAAAATAAATCATTTACTATATATTTTAGGTATATATCTTTGTATATATTCCTTATACTGATAGGTGAGTAATTATAAAATATTTATTTGAAATTTGAGGCTCCAGAAAGAACTACCGAATCAGTAATATGGAAAAATGTGATTGAAACTGAAAAGTGTAAAATATGCATGAACAAGAACTGTTATAACAGAAGATATTGAAACTGCTGATTTTCTGTTTTTTAAGGCACGAAAATTTATATAATCTTATGTTCAACTTATAACACATCATTAAATATTTGAATTTGCAAGAAGATTTGGAATATCAACTTGTACGTTATGTATGGTTATGTCATATTTTCGTACACTGTATGTTATTTTTTTTTTCTAATTTAAATTGTTGTGCCTTAGGCTTTCTCGAAATCATGAATTCCCTAAGACACCCAAATACATATATATGGTTTAATTATCTTCAAACGGCACGTAAAATTAGTTTTACCCGTAAGTGTAAATTATTGTAAAATGAGCTGTAAAATGCGTTCTGTCGCAATACATTTAGATTTTTTTAAATAGTCAATGTGTGTATACAAACCTTTTTTCAATTAAAAGTAGACAGATCATCGTTCCCCCTAGTGGACTTAGGTCAGCAGCTCTACTGTGCTTGTACCGGTCTGTTATCTTGACCATTTCCTCCTTTCGTCCCTGAGATAATTATATCTATACATATTGGTCAAGTCAAGCGTAAGTACAAGAGACTAGGAATAAAAACATTATTTTCAATGACGTCTGCTTTTGTGGTGTACTTATCGTTTCAAACTCCTTCACGTTATTGCTCTTCGTCTCTGGCTGTTACGGTTGAATGATTATAAAGTCCTTGTGACATTAAGTGCATCGCTAGAAGGTTATTTTCACCAGATGATTTCTTGATTTTCGCGCGTTTATTCTGGAACCAAATCTTTATCTGTCCGTCTGAAAGTTTCAATTCAAGTGCTAGGCTTTGTCGTCTGTCTTCTGTCAGATATCGATTGGCTTCGAATTCCTTTTTGAGACGTGACAGTTGTTCGCTTGTAAAAGCTGTTCTTGGTCTCTTTTCGTCTACTTTCTTACACTTCTTCATTTTTCTTGACCTTGGTCCTACAATCAAAATATCATATACAATTTTTTACCATGTTTTTAACATAGGGAACTTTTTTTTAAATTAACTTTTCAACCATTTTTATTTATTAAGTGTTTCTGATGTTGAAACAAACAGACATTATCATTTTACAGCAAAATCATAACAGTATTTGGTTTGCGCGACGAAGTTAAATTATTAGAGGACAAACTAACATGTGATAAGTATATATTAAAAGTTGTTTAGAAGATCGATTCATTTCAGCTGAATGACCATTTGTAGCCTTTGGCGCCCCTAATTCCCGTTGTGTGTTAATTTTGACACTACTATCCCCTACCCGCTATTGTAACCGATGATCATCCTAAAATTAACTGTAATTTATTTGTACAAGAGTTAATGGACCTATACAGGAGCAAATAGTTGGGTTTATAATGGTGTTTAAATTGACACTTTTGGTCTGAAACTATTGTGCATTGATAGGATAGGAAGAAAGACAAATCCCTTGGGTCATTAGTCGGACCATATTTTCATTATCTGTCATTATTAACGTGTCACGACTTATGTCATTCCATGCGTCGTTAAAGTACTTATCTATGCGATTATTCAAATTCAGAAATTTGTTTTAATCTTGCGGTTAAAGTTTTAATTTTAAAATTTGAGAAATGAGTACAAAATATCTGATATACACGGTCATTATGTTTTACTTTTGAATTTAAAAAAAAGGTGTTTTTGTGAAAGTAAAATAAGGAGCACAGTTGATTTCTTTCTTCTTTTTCAACAAAAATATTAATATGTGTATAAAATTTCACAAAGGTATTTAAATAGAAAAATATTGTAACGCTTGAAAAGGAGACCCGTTTTTGTCTGCATTTATATTGATATCATATTTAAAATATATAATGAATTCGAAGCAATTAAACTTCACTTGCTGTGCAGCATGGTAAAACTAATGTAGCTTTAATTAGACAATTTGTCAGTATACTGTTTCAATTGTCTGTAATTTATATTTCGATGTGTTCCGAATGGATGTGACACCTGATCGTTTCCAGATATGACACCACGTGTTTTGAATCGACATCTATCGAATGTTAAATGGGCCGTAAAATCTACCCCAAATCGAATTGTTTTTATATTTTTATTCAATGTTATGGTCGTATTATTGACTTTAGTGTGAAGTTAATTTCAAATATTGTCGTAAATTATTGACTTCAAATTCAAATTAGATTGTTTCTCATGAAAAATTTATTGCATTTTAATTTTTGAAATGTTTTGAAATTTATAACAGAGACATATAATTGTATTATATATCTCTGGTTATAACGACTTTGTTTATTTTATGCACAATGGAAGAAAGACTACAGTCTTTTTTTCATTTTCTTTTCCTCTTTTTATATTTACAGTTATGTAATTCATCGAAGCATTTATGTAGACATTAATGTTTCAAATCTACATTTTATCAATTCAGATGCATCTTATATTTTCAGGACAATAATACATTGACTGCACATGTTCAAAGTCGAGAATAAAGTGCTTTATTTAGATGAGAAATGTGCGACATAATTTTGACAAAGAAATAAACACTTCTACATTTTTACATAGTTAGTGCATGGTATAGAGAAAACTCCTTTTATCGAAAAAATAAAATTACCTTATTCTATTTATATACTATCTATCAAAATTTCTTTATTTATATAGAATGAAATATTGAATTTCCTATATGCTTAAATTATGACTCTTGTGTGCAACTTAAAATTTTCATAAAAAAGAACAAATAAATTCTAACAAGAGCAGTTATCTCATTGTTATGAAATGTCTTTATTCCAATGCATAATTCTAAAATAGTTTTTTTTTTTTAATTGATCCAAACGGTTTGATCAGTTTATGCAATAAAACATGGAATATAAATACAATTGTTTCTCCTAGCTTTTAGTTATGGTGTGTTATTATTAAAAGTTACTTGTCGTTGTAGAACAGTTATATGCTAAATTTTATATTTTTGGTTAATAAAGCAATTATCATATTAAAACTATTTTCAGGCAAAAACTGAATAAAAGAGTATTCCTAGGATATGCACAAATTGATATGGAAATTTGTAGCAGTTTGAAATCATACTCATGTGAATGCTTCACAAGAATACTTGCATTCATTGTTATTCTTTCTTAATATTTATATATCATTTTTTTCAATAATCACTAAAAATATGAAAGAAAACAAACTTAACACTTAATTTCTTTTTTCTGAACTTGAAGGAACATTTTAACATATATTAAAGTTAAAAGGAAATTAAAAATAGGAAAACTTACCAGATGATGGTCTATCTGAGTATCGAGTACAATAAACCCAAGCAGGAAACAACATCGATCTTGACTCAGACCCTGGTGATACGGCTGGACTGGAACTCGACGAAGATCCAGACGACTTGTATGATTTTTCAGAACCATTCGGACTAGGAACAGGCACAGGATTGTTCTGTCTTGTAATTTCTACAAAAGCTGATTTTCTTTCACTTTGTTTAGGCTTCACTCCAAAACTTGGTCTAAGTATAGCGTCAATTGAAAAGTTTGTGAAAGTTAGTTCCTGGTTTTCATTTGGAGACTCTCTGGAACTTTCATCTGTTTCCATAATGTCAATCGGTTCGTCCTCAGCGTCACTTATGACTTCTTTTTTAATTTTAACACACTCGATATTATCCATCCTATGAATTGTTTGTATAAAGTTACAAAGTTTTCTGGTTAAAAGTCAACAAATAAATAGATAAAGATTTTACTATCATGTTCTTCTTATTTCTTCATCTCAAAGATGGGCGGAGCTTTCAACTGTGAAATCGTTCTATAGTTAACCAATCTAATAATTCTGTTCGCTGTTGTAGGCGGAGCTTATTGTTGTTCATTTTACAGATAGCGATCGCGATGATTGATGATATTTACAATAATGTGTGAAAATAAACTAATGTCATATTAATCACACTATTTTCAATAATCATAATCATTATTGTTCAACTTATTGGCATCCTTAGATTATTAAGGCAATACATTTCGTGATATTATTTAATTCGAATCGATTTCGGATCAAGAAATAGCATAAATCATATTAGATGACAATTGTTCTTGCGGAGATGTTATTCAATTTTATAGTTGAAACTTAATTAGGTATAAAGATAATCACCCTAAAATAATTTTGATGTTCCTTTTTAGATTTTGGGTCAATGGAAGGCCTTTAGTTTCAAATTTCTAGAAGTATTTGTTTATGCTACGTTTTCTATGCTAAGGCAAATTAAGTCATTGAGACAAAACAGAAATTATCGTCCGTCATTTTACAATATTGTTTAGTAAAAATTATATTAATTTCTCCTCAATTTACAGAATACATTAAACAACATTAATCACTTCATGCTGAAAAACAGTTCAACAATAAAAAAAAGTATATAAAAAGTTAAATCAAAAGTTATTTAGCATAATAGGAAAATAAAAGTACACACGAACTAAAAATACTGATAACAATTTTGATAATCTATACCAGAGACATATATACATGTATGCCTCTGTCTGTACGAAGCTTAGTTTTTAAACTAGTCCCATGGTTTTATCACTATAAAACGTCTATGCATATACAAATCCTTAGTTTATGGAAGTTTGATTTTAGAAACAAAAATTGCTGTTTTTTAAACATATTTTAATATTGTTAATGAATTAAAAGTCTATCGCGTAGAGTATGTTAATTATATTTTAATTCTAAATTAACAGTCTGACGACTTTATGACGCGTTAAAGTATTTTAAAATACCTAATTAATATGACAAATAACGGAATCTTCCCGTGGGGAAATGATAAGAATCCGGCAACTTAAAAACCCGTGAAATGTACACACGATAAAAATGAAGTGTTACTTGTAAATCGCCAGAATCTTAATGTTTAAATTAAAATTAACAAGCTCCTAAGGCTTACAAACAACAGACAGCAATGATTAGAAATAAGATAGGATGTTGCTTAACGTTCACGCAATTGCCATAACAGTAATAAAATATTAAAGGTGAATGATTTACGGTTGGGAAGTTAAATCATTGACACTTAATTCCTAAGAATCGCCATGATATTTTGTATGTAAAAATGTATTTGGTGTTTGTTTAGAATTAACATTAACTAATTTTATGCGTACGAAACGAAACGCCTTTGGACAATGGTAATTTTGACCTTAGAAAATAATGCTGATTTAATTTTTTTTAACAAAGTTCAAAATATATTACTTCATCAAACAAACAAACAACATTAATCATAATCTATCCAATGAAAACACCATAGTATATTTAAAGATGGCTGGATGATACGATGGTGTTTCGATCCATTAATTTGGGAGATTTTGTTATTGTTCGATGAAGCTGTATATTTTGCACATAAAATCTATAAAGCATACATAGTCTTTTAAGTATTGCATAGTCCAAAGTCCTTCTTTCTTAAACAAAAAAATAGATACTTTACAATTAATTTCTCAAAGGGAGAAATAAATTCTTTATAATTCTGGAAAACGGTAAAGATCAGAGCAGTCGTATTATTATTATAAAATATTTTTGAAAGCAATCGGAAGTGCTTGCAAACTGCATATTACTTAATTTTTCATGATTAATTTGAGAAACCCGTCAAAACCATTAATTAACCGGTAACTACACGTATTGGTGTTAAACAGTGTGAAATAACATGCCGACCCATCGGCACTTTGATCAACATCTCATCAGACGATCCCGATACCATATTATTAATGTGTAGTTGCGTGACAGTCATTTGTACTAATTTGTAATTGCTGTATTTTTTGCTCCTGGATATCAAAAATGCATTTGATAATGTCGGTTGAAAATATCATTTTACGCAATAATGAGTAAATTATGTTGTGTGTTTAATATTTTGCGGGGTCTTAGAATAACAGTTTGCATATTGATGTTTTGCAGAGATCTAGATGCTTTGTAGTATGACACTGCCTTCTGTAATTAACAGAAGGCTGTATGTAAAAAGACAAACTTACTATGCGAAGTTCTAAATGTTTTTTTTGCTATTAATTATACTGTAGTGCAACGGCATTATTTTTGATACATTCTTCTTCGTTATAATTTCATGAAATTGTAAAATCAATACAATTAATATGAAAATTATTGTGTTTTCATCTTTTTTATTTTTTTCATTCTTTCATATAGAATATTTAAATTTTAATTTCTTACTTAAATTATCTATTAAATATTAATTCACACCTTGTTGACATATTACATATTTGTGTTTACATATTTTGAAGATTAAATCTGTCAGTGACACGTGAAAGAGATGGAATACTTCTTTTACAGATATAAAACAATTACTTCCTAATACAGTGAAGCAATATTGATAATATTTTTTTAATATTATCATTCAATTTATAAGTATTAGTGGTAGTATATTAATAGAAATTTTGATATTATTTTCATAACTCATTATTAACATCAAGCGATTAACATCAATCATGAAATAATTTTCAATATCTGATGGAAAAAAATGTTTTCTATATATGAAAAAAAGTAATTGAGAACAAACGAACAATTTCTATAAAAAAAAAATTACCACAAAAGTCAACCATTTCTTTTAGAAACAAAATAAGAGAACCAGATAAACAGTTAATATCAAGACAAAACAAAACAAAAAAGAGAAAAAAGTCAACCAATTTGTTTTTAGAAACAAAATAGGCCAACAGCTAATATCAATAACAAAATTAGATAATCATTTCAACCGGTTTTTTTTTCATCATAGAATATTAGAGAAACAGTCAACCATTTCTGGCAAACGAAAAATTAGAAAACCAATTAAACCGTTTCTAAAAAAAAAATAAAAAATTAGAGAACCAAACAGTCTGTATCAAAAACAAAATTAGAGCACCAAGTCAAATTTGGGGAACCAAAAGTCGGCCATTTCTTTCAGAAATAAAAACTGTAGAAGTCCACGTCATCTTTCGTTTTGTTTTCTCAGTGGTGTGTGTGTGTTTTAATCCTTACATGATGCATATACTAGTAGTTAATATCAATAAGCCAATCACTTTTAACTCGTTTGAGCAGTCGATATATACAGGATCTGTTGCTAAATATATTGACAGTTGAAATAATATAGAGAAATACATTTTTAAAATGCACATACTTGCTTCAAATTAATTTAGGTATCTTGCTTAAAATATTTTGGGATGATGATAAAAACAGTCATGATCTTTTTGATCTATATAAAATGACATGTCTACAGTTTTTCGTATTGTGCTAATTTATTTTTATATATGCCGAAAACCTGCTTGCTTATTTATATATAGGTGACAGTTGAAATAATATAGAGAAATACATTTTTAAAATGCACATACTTGCTTCAAATTAATTTAGGTATCTTGCTTAAAATATTTTGGGATGATGATAAAAACAGTCATGATCTTTTTGATCTATATAAAATGACATGTCTACAGTTTTTCGTATTGTGTGCTAATTTATTTTTATATATGCCGAAAACCTGCTTGCTTATTTATATATAGGTGACAGTTGAAATAATATAGAGAAATACATTTTTAAAATGCACATACTTGCTTCAAATTAATTTAGGTATCTTGCTTAAAATATTTTTGGGATGATGATAAAAACAGTCATGATCTTTTTGATCTATATAAAATGACATGTCTACAGTTTTTCGTATTGTGCTAATTTATTTTTATATATGCCGAAAACCTGCTTGCTTATTTATATATAGGTGTGTTCTCTTTACATATATACTTACCATACTAGTACTCCTTGTTTTGCAAATACGTACACCGTCAATTGTAATGTGCGAAAAACAAATTCATTGAAATATATAGTTCTTATATATCATGAGTTAGATTTTCAAAAAAGTTTAGCTGTTTTGACGATGACCTTTAATGTATAACTTTTTCTTCAGAGGAATAGAGGAATAGGATAATATCTTTTCACCCGTTTCAGAGTTTTCGTTATGATCAGTTACACACTATAAACTGACAGTTCCAAAAAAATGTAAAAACAAAAATAATGAACTCCAAGATATATATTTAAAAAAAGGGAAAGTCCATTAAAACCGACCAAGATATGGAAGTATTATATTGACACTATAATACTTCCATGAACAGACATACTTAACGCTTGACTATATCACTATATCAACCGACGTAGAGAACAACGGGAACGCAAATTTCATATATTCCTGAATTGGTACAGGCTTTTTCCAAACCTTCCTCTTGTATTCCATGCATGTCCCGAAAATAATTTTTAAGTGCAAATAGTTTCATCAAATTATTAAAGTTACCATGTTACTTTATATATATTTTAGGATAATGATTAAAATTGTTATATTCTTTCTAATTATACCAAAATGATATACAATGTATTAAGTTTGATTATATATAGTGCTTATTCTCATTTCTTCCCAATCTTACAAAAAACCTGATTGCATGCATTCCTTGGGAAATTGTTGTTAGTGCATTACATAGTCCAACATTGCTCTGACGGACCACGGCCTGTTGTTAGGCTGCTTGGGTCCGTGACTGGCTATGACATAACGTATTCTAAATACTTAAAAGTTTTATTTTACCTTTCAGCATTCCTTATTTTGCAATTTTAGTCTAGTGCACATATACAACCTCAAAACAAAATTTTCATTGGTGCTAATTGCATATAAATAAGGAAGAGATTCAAAAGGGCAGTTTAGACAAAGACCTCAAAATGAATAATTCTTACCTCGGAGGTAAATTTATTCGAATGGTCTAACGGTCTTTTACTTTCTAAAC